GGCGTCAAAAAACTTGCACTAAGTTTATTTACTTGGGACAGTTCTGAAATGTTTACCTTTATCATATTTGTTAAAAGTAAATCCAGAACAAAGTCTCCTGCACATCAAGGACACGCTGAAATTGATTCCAAAAAAGGCTACCAAATCCTGGAAACCAACACCTCGCCTTGTCCAATCTTTGCTCTTGAAACTTGGAGGGTAAGCCTGAAAATAACATCTGTACCCGCTAACCTTGATAGATGAATCTCTCTAAGAAAACTGGCGTTAAAGGTGCGCAGAAATTGTGTTCTTGGGAAGATAGTTATGACATGTTTATCAACTTTATCTCCGTTGAAAACCTTTCAAAGTGGCCAGCTTATCTGAGGCATGCAGAAAAAATCGATGGCTAAAATCCAGGAGGTCCATGGTTTCATAAGATTCACAGATAAAACATGTATGTCCTAAATATTCACAACATGCCCAAAATATTTTGAGGGGCCTGACCTTTGATCATTTTTGAACGTCCAAAATGCTCCAAAGTATTGGTTCCTTTGTCCAAGTTGAGTGTTAGCAAAAATGTTTGGTTTACGAATGCTAGACTTGGGCCCCTAGATTTTATCCATTCAGAAATGCTCAAAAGGGGTATGGGGGGGTCAGGCCCCTCTGGAAAACAGCCACTGGGGTCTACTATTTCAGGGGCTGGACCCCCCCTAGGAGCAACCAACCCCGTTACGTTTGCGTGCGGAGTTGGGCGTGGCAAGAGCCTTTTGAAGCATTTGAGGCGTTTGGAGGGTTTGAAGCCTCGCAAACGGCAGCATTGAACGCCCAGAAGAAGCCATTGCTGCGGCCGCGGGGTGCCCTGGAGCCATTGCTGTGGCTTTGTGGTGGCTTTTGTGTGCGGGCGTGGCGGTGTTGGGCTTGTTGGGGTACTTCGACTTTTGGAGCATTTGGAGGGTTTGGAGGGTTTGAGGCCTCGCAAACAGACGTTGAACGCCTATAAGAAGCTATTGCTGCGCCATTGCTGTAGCCTTGTGGTGGCTTTTGCCAAGCTGGGCGGACTTTTGGAGGGTGTGGAGCGCTTGAGGCCTGGCAAACGGCAGCCTTGAACGCCTATAAGAGGCCCTTATAGCCATTGCTGCGGCCGGGGGGTGCCCTTCAGCCATTGCTGTGGCCTTGTGGTGGCTTTTGCGTGCGGGAGTGGCGCGTGTTGGGCTTGTTGGGGTACCTTTGCCCTGCGGAGCTGGGCGGACTGTTGGAGCGTTTGGAGGGTTTGAGGCTTGGCAAACGGCAGCCTCGAAAGCCTATAAGAAGCCATTGCTGCGGCTGGGGGGTGCCCTTCAGCCATTGCTGTGGCCTTGTGGTGGCTTGTGCGTGCGGGAGTGGCGCGTGTTGGGCTTGTTGGGGTACCTTGTCCCTGCGGAGCTGGGCGGACTTTTGGAGGGTGTGGAGCGTTTGAGGCCTGGCAAACGGCAGCCTTAAACGCCTATAAGCAGCCATTGCTGCGGCCGTGGGGTGCCCTTGAGCCATTGCTGTGGCCTTGTGGCGGCGTTTGCGTGCGGGAGTGGCGCGTGTTGGGCTTGTTGGGGTACCTTTGCCCTGCGGAGCTGGGCGGATTGTTGGAGCGTTTGGAGGGTTTGAGGCTTGGCAAACGGCAGCCTTGAAAGCCTATAAGAAGCCATTGCTGCGGCCGGGGGGTGCCCTTCAGCCATTGCTGTGGCCTTGTGGTGGCTGTTGCCTGCGGGCGTGGCGCGTGTTGAGCTTGTTGGGGTACCTTTTGCCTGCGGAGTTGGGCGGACTTGTGGAGGATTTGGAGGGTTTGGAGCGTTTGAGGCCTGGCAAACGGCAGCCTTAAACGCCGAAAAGCAGCCATTGCTGCGGCCGTGGCGTGCCCTTGAGCCATTGCTGTGGCCTTGTGGTGGCTTTTGCCTGCGGGCGTGGCGCGTGTTGGGCTTGTTGGGGTACCTTTTCCCTGCGGAGTTGGGCAAACTTTTGGAGGAGGTGGAAGGTTTGGAGGGTTTGAAGCCTCGCAAACGGCAGCCTTGAACGCTTATAAAATAGGCCATTGCTGCGGCCGTGGGGTGCTCTTGAGCCATTGCTGTGTCCTTGTGGTGGCTTTTGCCTGCAGCGTTGGGCGTGGCAAGGAGTGGCGCGTGTTGGGCTTGTTGGGGTACCTTTTCCCTGCGGAGCTGGGCGGACTTTTGGAGCGTTTGGAGGGTTTGAAGCCTGGCAAACGGCAGCCTTGAACGCCTATAAGAAGCCATTGCTGCGGCCGGGGGGTGCCCTTCAGCCATTGCTGTGGCCTTGTGGTGGCTTTTGCGTGCGGGAGTGGCGCGTGTTGGGCTTGTTGGGGTACCTTTTCCCTGCGGAGCTGGGCGGACTTTTGGAGGGTTTGGAGGGTTTGGAGGGTTTGAGGCCTGGCAAACGGCAGCCTTGAACGCCTATAAGAAGCCAGTGCTGCGGCCGGGGGGTGCCCTTGAGCCATTGCTGTGGCCTTGTGGTGGCTTTTGCCTGCGGGAGTGGCGCGTGTTGGGCTTGTTGGGGTACCTTTTCCCTGCGCAATGGCTTCTCCAAAGCCATTGCTGTGGCCTTGTGGTGGCTTTTGCGTGCGGGAGTGGCGCGTGTCGGGCTTGTTGGGGTACCTTTTCCTTGCGGAGCTGGCCGGACTTGTGGAGGGTTTGGAGGGTTTTGGAGCGTTTGAGGCCTGGCAAACGGCAGCCTTGAACGCGTATAAGAAGCCATTGCTGCGGCCGTGGGGTGCCCTTGAGCCATTGCTGTGGCCTTGTGGTGGCTTTTGCGCGCGGCAGTGGCGCGTGTTGGGCTTGTTGGGGAACAAGAGAGGGCTCAGTGCAGGCAAAGGGCAGGCTGCAATGCTGGAACGCTGACGGCCAGAGGGCTTGGTGGCAGCTGCCGCGAGGGATGTGCAGGCAAAGGGCAGGCTGCAACCCTGGAACAGCAAAGGCTGCCGGCCAGAGGGCGTGGTGGCAGCTGCCTCGAATGCCCTAACGAGAGAGGGCTATGTGCAGGCAGGCTGCAATGCTGGAACGCTGACCGCCAAGGAGCTTGGTAGAAGCTGCCGCGAGGGATGTGCAGGCAAAGGGCAGGCTGCAACCTTGGTGGAAGCTGCCGCGGAGGGTTTGAGGGGTTTTAGGGGTTTGAAGGCTGGCAAACTTTGAGGCCTGGCAAACGGCAGCCTTGAACGCGTATAAGAAGCCATTGCTGCGGCCGTGGGGTGCCCTTGAGCCATTGCTGTGGCCTTGTGGTGGCTTTTGCGTGCGGCAGTGGCGCGTGTTGGGCTTGTTGGGGAACAAGAGAGGGCTCAGTGCAGGCAAAGGGCAGGCTGCAATGCTGGAACGCTGACGGCCACAGGTGCTCTTGAGCCATTGCTGTGGCCTTGTGGTGGCTTTTGAGCCATTGCTGTGGCCTTGTGGTGGCTTTTGCGTGCGGGAGTGGCGCGTGTTGGGCTTGTTGGGGTACCTTTTCCTTGCGGAGCTGGCCGGACTTTTGGAGGGTTTGGAGGGTTTTGGAGGGTTTGAGGCCTGGCAAACGGCAGCCTTGAACGCGTATAAGAAGCCATTGCTGCGGCCGTGGGGTGCGGGTGCCCTTGAGCCATTGCTGTGGCCTTGTGGTGGCTTTTGCGTGCGGCAGTGGCGCGTGTTGGGCTCAGTGCAGGCAAAGGGCAGGCTGCAATGCTGGAACGCTGACGGCCAGAGGGCTTGGTGGCAGCTGCCGCGAGGGATGTGCAGGCAAAGGGCAGGCTGCAACCCTGGAACAGCAAAGGCTGCCGGCCAGGGGGCGTGGTGGCAGCTGCCTCGAATGCCCTAACGAGAGAGGGCTATGTGCGCGGAAAAGTTCCACACCTGCGGTGGTCCCAGGCGCCGCCCCAGCCTTGGCGAAGGCCGGGGTCGGCGGATTCTATTCAAATGTAGCGTGTTATATAAAAACAAATGGTGTTGCATTATATTGTATTACAGCCTGTTTTATCCAATTTATATTGTACCATGTCATACTATATTATATCATGTCACGTCATGCCAAATCACATACTTTAGTAAATTATATATTGTATTAATTCTCATGGTGCTACATTGTATTATCTTATGCTATGTCTCTTTTGTCCCACAGGTTTTGCAGTACTAGTTTTTGTTTAATCACATTTTTGTGTTTTTCTTTTCATATATTTTTCCCATTAGTATAGTATATTTGGTTATTTTCACAACAGCGGTCATGAATATGTTGTTTACACATTTTCTACATGAATACAAACATTGCATTTTTACGCATGCACACATCTGCCACAGTCAAAGATGAACAAATAAAGTCATCAGTCCAAAATATCAGCGATTGGCCCAGTTTACTTAACAACACTTCACTAAACTCCAAACACTTTGCACTGCAATGCCACTCTGCGGCATGGTCCTGTGTATAAGTTCTGGTCAGGACACATGTACATTCGTACCTGCAGACATTCAAACATTGATTTATTTTTTCGTTGTTTCACCAACTATCTCATTCTATTGGTGGTTTGTTGGTGCATTCATTCGGTCGCCCAATCACAGGTTACATTGCGTTGCACCGCATTGCGTTGCATTGCGTTGCGTTGCCATATAGTACTGTCGAGTACATTCAAGTAGATTTATTTTATAATCACTTGTCATCAGTGCGTACTGGACTACGTAATCATAGCATTAAACATGTACGTGCATGATGGACAAAATTGTACAAAATAAACGCATACTTGTTCTTTTTGCCTATTTACTATCCACGCCTTCTACAGGATAATTCCTGTCTTTACGGGGAATAGAATCTTCGGACTGCAAGGGTGATTGACGATTTTTCATAGCTTAAATGCACCCTAGAACCGTTGACATCAGATTGATGTGCTTCCAATATCCGTGCACTTGACCAAGGGAATGCCTGGCTAGACGCTGTCATCTAGAGTACCGTAGGGTACCTGTTAAACCTGTTATTAAACCTGTTATTCGCTCTTACAGTACATGGGTATTCCAGCGCTTTGCTTTCAGGCATGAAGGGCAAAGGCAAGGGCAAGGGCAAGGGGAAGAATACATCTCGAGGGAAAGGCCATACTCTTCCAAGAGTGTGCGACTCAGCGTCGCCGGGCCGTTGCCGGGCTTTTGCTGGGTCATTTGGTGTTGTTGGTGGTGTGGTACACCATCTCGCAGGCGGTGACAAGACTCAACGCCGTGTAAGTGCAGTTTGTGTCAGTTTATCGCAAAACGTTTTGAGTGAAGTCTACGTGAATGGTGAGCGCTGTTCACACTGAAAAATCATGAACCAAATAATGAACATTGACGCAGTTTAGCCCTGAGGAAAGAGTCTCAGAGACTCCTATGATTGGAGAGGTCTTGGAGTGGAAGGGGAAGTAACCAAGCTGAAACATGAAGGGAGCTGAAGGAGCTTGGTCCACTGGGTCCTCTGACAGCCTTCTCTGTTTAATATTCGCGAGCCACTTTGTAGATCTTTGTAGTACCAGGTTTCCGTTGTGTGGCCTGCTGACTGCCCTTATCACAGGTGCTCATTTGGCACGAGGGTTCTAAGTGGGTACTAAAGTGCCGATCGCAGATTTGCAACTTGAAATTCACAATTTAAAAAGACAATGTACTTTCAAGAGAAGAGCTGAAGTTCTGAGCCCAAATCAAGTCAACAGTTGTTCCTAATTAGATCTAACTTATCGCTTTTGGGTTCACCGTCAAGGTGGCCAGGTTTCCAAATCATTCACAGACCTGTCCGATGCTATACCTACGGAGCTTGGGAAGTTGGCAACTCAGGTATGGTTGGATAAAGCCTCAGGAGCCCATTGAGCACGAAAAGGCGTGACACGGAATGACGTAAACACTAATAGCTGAAAAAAGACACTGCTTCAAGTTTCATTTGCATGACTGCGTGTAGAGAGCCATTCTGTGCAATTCTTGCGGCATTTGCATGTGTTTCCATTTGGTCCATACAACATGTGTGGACAACTCCGCAGTGGCTTATGTGTCAAGAGAAAAGAGGCCCACGTTCCAGCACTGACCCGCTGTCCAACATGGCAGCGGAGCCATGGAGGTGGCTTGGAGCGCTGCTGATGGTGAACGCAATGGCAGCTGCGCTTCAACCAGATCTACCCCTTCAAGTTGGGGGCTGCCACCAGTTCGAAATTCGGACGTATGAGCCCAATGTAAACGACAGCAACTGGAACGATGGCATGGGTGAGCAAGAGAACAACTTTAAATTTCACCATGTGCTCCCCAATGACTCTAGCAGCATCGACATGAACGTGAACTTCAAGTACGACCAGGACAAGACCTACGACGTCATGAGTCATGGAGCACCAGCTGATGGAGCCCTTCAAGTTTCAGGATGGCAGAGCATGGAATGGCAGTTGCGCTTTCTGGGTAAACTGCGGGAATGGATCCGACATAGGCATGGCTGAAAACGTCACTTCAAGGTCTAGAAATGGCATGTGCTGTGGAAACAGGTGGATTCGAACCACCAGTGTGAGCACTGTGGGGATTTGGAACCCCAACAACTTTGCTGAGGGGATTGGCGCCTTTTTTGTCATGGTTGGCTTTGCAGTGATTGTGAGAGCCTCATTGCTTGTGGCAACGTGGGGCTCTATCACCAGTTCTTTGATGGTGACATTTCCGTCTATTTGCATTCGTGGTCTTCACTCACGGCATGGATTTTGGCATATCCTATAACCACAGCAGTGCTTGGAATGACATTTCTCCTATGTTTGTGCAGCATGGTGATGAAGAACAAGCAGGTCAGAATGAGATCAAGAAGCCGCTTGGGCCCGGGACAAACCAGACGCAAATGGCATGGTGGACTCAGGCAAAAGTGGAATGTGAAACTGCGGCTGAAAGGCCTTATCTTTATGGCATTGTGCATGGAGGCAGTGGGGATGGATGCGCGGCAGGCAAACGATCTTCTCACAAGGATCATGGAGCTGAGCCATGCAGCGATTCAAGCTGCCGCTACAGCAACTTCGATGATTGGAGAGGTTCAACAACAAGGCAAAGGAGCTTCTTCCAGGTTTGGTGATGGTGTGAAGGTCCTCAGACCTCCTGACACCTTCGAGGTGGACGATCCTGTGCGCTACAGCTTGCGGCGTGAGCAGTTCCTGAACTGGTTGGTTTTCTGCGATTCCAGGAATGGTGAGCTGATCAAGGACGTGGAAAACCTTGATGTGATTGAGCCCATGGAGACTTCTGAGCCTCATGTGAAAGAGCTGAGTGCAAGCTCTACAGCATCCTGTCCTCCTACCTTCGTAGCCCAGCCCTACAGATTGCGCGCTCTTGCAATGAAGCGCGTGATGGTTTCCAGGTGTGGCACAAGATGAAGAGCCTCTATCCCCTCGTGCAAGACCCAGAGCTTTGGCAATTGGTTCAAGCCGCAATGCAGCATCCTGCACTCAGTGGCAGTGGCCAAAGATCTATGTTGGAGAACTTGCTACAGTTTGACTCTTTGCTGGATCAATATGAAACAGCATCAGGAAAACACGTGCCTGATGACTTCACGGTTTCAACGGTGTTGAGGTGCATTGACGCACCAACCAGGAAGCATATTGAGATGATCATGGACGATGACTTCAGCTGTGTGAAGCTCAAGGAGAAGCTCATCCTTCTGGACAGGAACACCAGATCGTGGTCAGGTGACAGTTTCCTCGATGGCTTGCTGACTTTGCAGGGAGCTCCAAGTTCAAGCTCAACCACACACCAAGGCCCAATGCCGATGGAAGCGGATCAAGTGCAATTTGATCCCAAGGGCATTTACAAGGGCAAGAACAAGGGAAAATCCTGGAAAGGCAAGAAAGGTGGCTGGTTTGGCCTTCCTTATTGTGATGGCAAGAACAATGGCAATGGCAAGGGCGGCAAGAACAAACGAAAAAGCAAAGGAAAGAAGGGCAACCAGAAGGGCAAGAACAAAGGCAAATCCCACAAGGGAAGGGCTTTGGTTCAAACACTTGCAGCATATGTGGACAGACTGGTCATTTGGGCAATGAGTGTCCCAGTTGTAACAACAACGTCAGTCAGGTCGACGAGAACCAGACAGCAGCTAACATCAGAAGGGTGAAGCTTTACGAGGTTGCTACACCCCCAATTTCCAGCCCCGTTGAAGAATGGTTTTCAACATGCATGGTCACTGACATAGCCTATGAGGTTTTCAGCTTGGAGAGCTGTGATGAGATGGACGAGCCCAACATGGACGGGTTGAAGGATCCTCTCTATGGTTGGTGTGGTGACTGCAGTCATGACTTCGACCAGCTGCAGGTTGACAAGAAGGATGATGTGGATAGGTACCACATTCGCGCAGTTCCGTTGAAGGATCCTCAGTTGATTGTCTTTGGCAGTGGTGCAGATATCAGTTTGCTGCCCCGAGCCATGTGTGAGAAAGGTGTGGGCAAGAAGCTGGGCAGAACAGTTTTGCAAGATGCCCAGGGTGCCAGACTTGAAACATATGAAAGGAGATCAGCGCAGTTGGAATGTGAAGGAGATGGAGCTGATCTCGTGATCATTGAGGATGACTTTGTCGTGGCATCAGTTTAGTCACCTCTCATCAACCTTGGCCGGTTGTTGCACAAAGGCTGGACTCTGACTCCATCCAACGCTGAAGTTGGCATCAATTTGGTAGCACCTGATAAAGGTTGTGAAGTGCCTCTTTGCTTCAAGATGACTTCCCTTGCGCTCTACGCCCACATCAGAGTGGTGAGCATGGCGGATGATGATCATCCCACTTCCTCATGCCCAATTGCCACCATGAGCTCCCCATGGTCATTCAGACTGTCATACCCACGCAAGATTTGCTCACTCGCATTTTCAGGCGTGTCTGGTCGACAACCCAAACTGGAAATCCATTCGTTGTCATGCCAGACACCACAAAGTTCATGGACCCAAGCATGATGTTTTCAAGCACTTGGCCTTTGAGAACAGCAATGATTCAGCGTCGTGACTACAAATGGGAAGTTGTGGAGCATAGTGTGCCCTACTACACGCAGCTCAAATATGCCAGCGAGATCATAGCGAGATCGAGGAGTGCCAGGGTGTCAAGGCTTTTGTTTTGATCATTCTCCACAAGAAGGAGGAGCTCCCCACAATGTTTGGGACGCTTGGCGATGGAGAGGTTGTACAAGCAGGTGGACCGTTGGTGGACACTGAAAACTTTGTGTGTGCACCTGAACCCAATGTCCCAATGGAGATGCAAGAAGGTCTCAAACCAGAAGAACTTGCGCAAATGGATGCTGGCCGTGGACTGTTTGGAGATGTTGAGAAGTTTGAATGGACCATTGAGACTCGTGATGCTTTGACGGTTGGCAGCACTATTATTGGTAGGAGCAGTGCAATGGGATTGCTACGTGCAGCTGCTGACTATCTTGGAATTTCCAAGGGTGGTTCAAAAGCAACTTTGTGTGCCCGTTTGAATCAAGCACTTCAACAGCTGGAAAACCAACAGCTTTTCCAAGATGCAAACCGCATGTATCGCCAACAAGATCAACATCCAGGTCGTCAGATGCAAGCTCAACCTCGTGAGCCAACACAGCAAGAGAGACTCTTGCATGAACATACTCACACCCCTTTCGAAGCTGGTGTGGGTGGTGTGTTGCTTGCAAGTCAAAGATGGACATGGTCAGGCAGGTTGCACCAGTTTCAGAAGAAGGCCGAGAAATTCCCTCAATCCAACTGGATTATGCCTATGGGAAGGTGACTCCAGGTATTCCTGCTGCAGCGATTTTGGTTGCACTTGACCACCAAACAAAAAAAAATTCAGCATTTCCTGTGGAGACCAAAGGGTCTAATCTTCGAGGCCAAGCTGAAAATGTGGCACGGTGGCTCAACTATGTGGATAGGTTGGACATTGTGGCCGACCCAGAGCCCACTATGTTGGATCTTCTTCAGAAGATTGCCCTGGTGAGACAGCACTTGGATTTCACTCATGGACGCCCAGGAGACAAGGACGCACAGCTCAAATAGAAAGAACAACCCAACTGGCTGTGTCATGGAGCTATGTTCACGGTGCTTGGACATTGAACCGCCTCCACACTCACTCAACTACAAAGATTTCTCCCTTTGAGCTTGTGTTCGGACGGACTTACAAAGGGTGTGTGGCTCGTTTTGGAGGGACAGTGCTTCTTCTTCATCAACGTGGCCTCAACTGCAAGCATGGCCTAGAATGGGTTCCAGGAGTTTGGCTTGGAAAGGCTGAAGCTGAAGATTTACACTTGGTGGCAACACCTCAAGGATTGCTTCGAGGCAATGCTATCTGGCGCAGTGTGTGGCTTTTCATGATCAAGGAGAGGCCATTTCAACCCACTGGACGCAAAGCCTTGCTGAAGGACATCCAAATTGGATCTCCTGTTACTTCCCTGCCAGTGGCTGATGTTCATCCAGGTCCAAGCGGTGATGTGGTGGACTATGATGCCCGTGGTGTCATGGAGTATGCCCGCAATCTTCCTGAAGATTCAGATCAGAAAGATGCAGTTTCATGCCCTTAAAAGTGGCCCGTGGTGATGATGGTGGCCAAGGTGAATCAAGTTCTGGCGCAATGGCTGAGAATGAGCCCTCTGCAACAGATACTATTGTGGATGATGCTCGAGTGACAGAAACTTCTTCAAAGATGCCGATGCCGAGACTGAGCCCTGAGTCAAGCCCAACCTCAAGCAATTTGTTTCCTCCTCACTTTGCCCGAAGCATTTCAAATGCCCAATTTGGACCAACCGATGATGACTGCTGGGAGCAAGAGATCATGGGTTACATGGAGGATATAGAACCTCCATGGATGACGATGATGAAGGTTTGGATGAAGGAAAACCTCCCACAGTCAGTGATGAGGTGTTGGAGAAGTTAGACATCGAGGCAGGATTCACTGAAATCCAACGCTTGCTGCAGATGGGAGCGCTGAGAAACCTTAATAATGCAGAGCTTGAGCAGGGCAATGTCTTGACAACCAAGATGGTCTATGACTGGCGCATGAGAGAGAACAGAAGCACTGCTCATGGCGTGGTCATTTCACCGCACGAGAAATACATCTCAGAGCTTGTCAAGCTTCATGGAATGGAGCACAGGAAACCAGAACAGACTCCAGACATTGGCTATGACAGCCTTGATGGTCCAGGGTTGTTCGACATGGACAAGCACCTCTTTCGCTCCAGCATGGGTACGCTTTTGTATCTCTCCCAGGACAGGGTTGACACCCAGCATGCAGCTCGAAACCTTTCACAGTGGATGTTGCGGCCTACAAAGTTAGCACTGGATGGCGTGAAGCATGTGTTCCTCTACCTGAGTTGAACTTTAAGCTATGGTTTGCTTCTTCATTATCAGGTTCCAAGTACCAGCAAGTTGGAGGAGATTCACTGCAAGGAGAACAGCACCTGCGCAAATGAGAAAGTTAGCGACACTGATTGGGCAGGTGACAAATCCAGCTTCGGCGAAGGCATTCAGTTTCATCTGGTATGGTCTTTGTGAATGGCCGTTTGGTGACAGCTTGGAGCAGGACGCAGAAAAGCGCATTGTCCTCATGCGAAAGTGAGTACTTAGCATCAGCCTCAGCAAGAGCTGAAGCATTGTACATGGGTCGCCTTTGGACTTTCCTCACCCAGCGTGAGACAGATATCGGTGTGATCACTGATTCCACTTTTGGAAGGGCCTTCACTCAACGTCTTGGAGTTGGACGCATCAAGCATATGGATGTGAAATTCCTTTGGCTGCAGAAAGCTGTTCGAGATGGATTGATGACCATCGAATCCGTGGCAACGCCCGTGAATGTGTCAGATCTTGGAACAAAGAAGCTGAGCCGACAGAGACGTCTTTTCCTGATGTTTCTCATGGGCATGGTGCACTTCAACAAGGACATCATGGAGTATGAAGCAGTTGGTGAGCAGGAGTTCACCGAATACATGCAGCGAAAGTCAACGGGCAAGAACATGAAAGTGGTCAGGTCAGTCATGATGCAGACCATCAGATCGGATCCAGCCAAAGATCTCTACGCCTCTTGTGAAAGCAATGACCCTTTTGGCATTGCAGCCTGTTGCAAAGGCCATGAGGCCTGAGGAGATTGAGCATAGCGCGGTTGTGGCAAAGGGCTATGCGGCTATGTTGAGTTCTTTTTCGAGAACTTCGAGTTCATGATGGTAATTGCCCTCACATTCTTCTTTGCAGGTTTCATCGCCGGGTACTATTTCAAGAGAATTTGCTCTACATTGCCTTTCAATGCGGCGATGGAGTGGTGTCGCAAGAGACTCAAATCACTTATCCCGAAGGCACGAACTTCGCCAATTCAGAGTTCCTGAAGATCCCGTAGATGCATGGTCCGGCGAAGAATACTTTGGCACACAGCCGATGGTGGTCTGGCCCGCTACTTGATGATTATGAAGAAGAAGGTGGCGAAGAAGAGATGCAGGAATCAGATGCAGCTATGGATGTGGATCAGGCAGAAAGGCTTCCAGAGCCCAGTGTTTTGCAAGAAACTTTTGAGTTACCAGGAGCACGTCCTGAACCAACAAAAGATGATGAGCCTGGACCGATTCCTCCAATTGGTGTGGACTGGAACAACATCACTGAGATCAGGAAGTACCTCCCGCGACGTCGAGCAGAACAGTCGAATCGTGTGAGGGAGGTCCAGATTTTCGAAGAGTCAATGCTCAAAGAGTATTGCAAGGTTCACCTCATGGAATTGTATCCAGGTCAACCAGATATGACCTGGGACTACCCAGCATGGTGGTCACCACGCGAAGTCCATGGTTTTTCGGTATTCAAAGAACTGGTGGTTAAAAGCATTCGGATTGTTTCGGATCCTTTTGTGAACAGTTGTTTATGCGTATGAGCGCTCCGCTACCAAACCCATGGGACTGATAGGATTGCAAATCACCCTTTTTCATAGACTTCAAAAGGTGATTTGAGGCGGGGTGTTCAATTCTTGCAGCATTTGCATGTGTTTCCATTTGGTCCCTCCAACATGCGTGGATAACTCCGTAGTGGTTTTGTGTCAAGAGGAAAGAGGCCCACGCTCCAGCACTGACCCGCTGTCCAACACATTCGATTCAGTTTCCACAAACATTGAACAGTTTCGCCGGCATGCAATGCACAATGATTGACGGATTTACAAGAGCATAATATTCTTCGAGAGTCTTGGCCGAACAAAGCCAGGGCTGTGAGAATTGACCAGCATTTTCAAACCGTTATAAAGGATTGATAACGATTGTCTAGTTTCCAAGTGAAAACAAATCGTGATAGGCCAGCAGGCATGGTGGCAAGCTTTTTGTGAGCCAGGCGAGGCACGAAGGTCATGTCACAGTTTTTGGCTTTGTGAAGAGGCAAGCATAAAGGCAAACCTTGAAGGCAGGAAAAAAACACGAAAAAAACTCGCACAACCTTTGAACAAAACTTGAAACAATTGAACAAAACTTGCAACAATATGATTCGTATGTTCATTTGCTCAGAGGCAGTGACCACTGATTCACAATTTTTGCATGTGGGTTTCCGCGTCCAGCGCGTACAGATCCGTCGGATCAGTGTTTTTTTGGCTGTTTTGACTTACATTAAAGACCAATTAATTGTAAACCTTTTTGTTTGGACCCTCTCTCTCTCGCTCTCTCTCCCCCTACCCTTGGCATATAGGTTCCCCGATGTGCAGGCGGACCTGGTAGGCGTCACTGAGCTGTCAAGTGGCCGGCTCGTGCAGTTTCAGTTGTCTCTTGGCAGAGGCACTCTATTATGCCTTTCGAACATGTTTTCTGGTCAGGGTCTGATTTGATTTCAACACATTTCACCCCATCTCACATGACAAGAAATGCAGAGAGATGCGCATAGAAACTCTCCCTGGCGCTAAATGCCATTGATGTCGTGGACGGCGACTCTACCCACACTCTAGAGATCTCTGTGACTCTGACTCTACTGACTGAGGTTTGAGGACTCGTCTGGCCTTGGGGCAGAAGAAGTGCTCCAAGCGTGACAGGCCGTGGAGCTTTGAGCTCAGAAAAGGTCTTGAGAAAAATATGATGGTCTGATGACGGTCTGATGTCAAATGTTTCGAAGTCATTCGCTGTTTTGCATCGTTTTTGATTTTGATTTGCCTGGATGTTTCTCCATTTCTGTCTCCGGATAGTATAGTGCTTGAACATTGCTTGAACATTGCTTGATACTTGGTTTTTTTTGGCCACGTGGGGCATCTTCCTCCGAGGTCTCTTGCTCTCTTGTACTTCGGCAGTTGAGCAGCTGCACAGCTGAGGAGTTCAGTTGAGTGAGTTGATTCTGAGTAGAGACCAAGATGCAGATTCCAAGGCCATTGAAGCCGTTCAATGTCCCTTCAAAAAAGTTTAAAGTTTCGTTTGTGTTTTGCTTGCTGCATCTTGTAAGTCTTCACGCCGCTGAAACGTAGTGCACAGAGCAATGCGAGAGTGGCCGAGAGGTGACAGAAATTTTGGCTATGAGGCTATGAGTTCCTCTATGAGTATACAGTAAGTCAAAATTTAAGGCCAAGGGGGAGGTTTTTGGGACAGGATTTTAGCGTCCGAAAAAAAAAGGAGTACGGACAGACCTAAACATACAATGACAGTTAGGAATACTAACTCAAGGGTATTAGAGCGGCATTCAAATGCCTCTGACGCAAGCACATCAAAGAACATGTTGGGTTTGCACCGTTGCATTTGAAGGTTGCTTTCTTTGCAAGCAGTGGGCCTGAAGCCCTACTTCCATTTTCACATCTGCAATTAGAATCAATTAGGCGATTCTGCCTCGAAGCGAAGATGTGAGAGTCCAAGAGTCCAAGTATGTCCAAGTACAGAACAGACAATTTCTCAATTAAAAATAATTAAAAAAGGTTCTCAATTTGCAGCCCTCTTGCAGTCCTATTGCACGCCTTGCACGCTTCTGGCCATGGGAGCCTGCATCGTAAGCGTGTCACCTGGAGCAGTCGTTAGCTGCAGTCCAAAGTCCAACGCGCTTAGACGAGTTCTTGGCCGGCTAAATCTCGAGACCACGAGAAGATCTTGAAGCATAGTCTGTTATAGTCTCACGAAAAAGTCAGCATGACACTTTGCATGCACTTTGGTATAGTTTGCAGATGTTTGCAGGATTCTGCAATAAACACAGTTTGTTTACTGACAAGATACCTTTGAAATCCTTTGAACTCCAGATGGTTCCAATGCAATCGATCTTACTGAGGCAGACCCACCTGCACTGGGGGCTAAGATTGTCCCCAAACCGTCCAGGCCGATGGGAGAAGTGCCCCAAATGCCAGTGTCGCCCCTGTTGGTTAGGCATCCCTGTACTCCCACATCTGATACCTGGGATAGACAAGAGCACAGCTGTCACTGCCTGTCACCCGTACTTTTGCTGTGGTAGTCTCAGTAATCTCTATTGTCTGTGAAACAATTTTCTGTATTTATGGATTTTGACTTGGTTCAAAGTCATTGCGGTTCCTTGCAGCTTCAGTGCTGTTGTCCAGTTTGGACTCGCCAGAAAAGTGTTTTGATTGTATGTATGACATCTTATGTCCCTGTTGCCCAGTGTAGCCGTGACGGTTCCTACTCGAGCTTCTACGGAGGACCACATTTTGACTGTTCTGTATGAGCTGTGCTTTAGCCCTGGCGGCTGTGCACGCTGTGCATGTGGTACTCCGATGATATGAAGCTCTAGAGCCCTTTCCTTTCCATGCTCATTACCGCAAATGACGTCCTCGCTTGAGATTTAGACTCCATTGATGTTGTTGTTTGATCTTGATATGGCCCGGCAGATTCATCACATCATATTTGTCATATCGGGGGCTGTCTCGGGGGCTGCGAGGACATTGACAAGTGGGATGACTTGGAGGAGGTTTGCAATGCTGTTGATGTATAGTACGTACAGTTGATGATGCTTGGGATCAAGGGGCCTCGAGTCACTTTCTGAACGATGACAGCATTCTGTGAGTACAAGTACACCATGCAAAAGTTGAGTCCAATTTCAGTGGTATAGACAGAGATAACGCAAGCAGAGTAGAGTGATGGCACGTTTTGATCACTGTCACTGGCTGTCAACTGATTTGCAGCATGAGGAGTCTGTGGAAGCCGGAGGCGGGCAGAAACGGACAGAGAGGGACATTGGTGCTACACTCCCCACGGTTTGAATGGCATGAAATCGGCTATGCGCATTTCGTTTCAATGCCATCGGACCTCTAAGGGAGCTTGTCATCGCATGGATCTTAGTTTCCAGCTGCTACTCACTCTGGACTCTGAACACAACATCAACAGACGGCACCCTTGGATTTCTTGCATCGAAACTTAATGTTGGAAGGCTTCAAACAGGAGAGCCTAAACATTGCCTTGATTGCAAAAAAAAACAGGACACATCGGACACATGAAACTCCAGCTATTGTTGACCATGAACTTTTGGCTGTGTCACACTGTCCCAGGCTTGCGGCAGCTACAGTTGCTGCGGGAATCTCAAAACTCAATTTGGCAACAGAAACATCCTTTTCCTGTTGCTTTCACACTTTGCAACAGTTATAACATATATATATATATAACTCTTCAGCAGCAAGAGCTCTATGCGCTTGAACTACTTCGGCCTGAAGAAGTAGGGCTATCCATCTGGCTTGAAATCGAACCAAGGTAGTTGAGGCAGAAACGAATGTCTCAGCTTTGACCCATGAAGCGGAGCCGAAGCTTCCTTCGGTTGCAGTCAGTCAGGACAGCTTTGCTGCCTGCAACACAAATGAAGGGTAAGTCATTGTTTGCATGTGATACTCTTCTGATATTTTTAGTATTTTTCCCCACATCATTGTGTGAGGTTTTTGGTTTTGATTCTCTATCCCGTCCGCTCCTCCTCCTCCGCTCCTCCTCCTCCTCTCGTCCTCCTCCTCCGCCTTTGTCACACACAGAACTTTGTCACACACAATCTTTCACACAATAACTTTGTCACACACACACAACTTTGTCACACACAATCTTTCACACAACAACTTTGTCACACACACACAACTTTGCCACACATAATCTTTCACACAACAACTTTGTCACACACACACACAATCTTTCACACAACAACTTTGTCACACACACACACAATCTTTCACACAACAACTTTGTCACACACACACACACGCAACCTTGAACACACCAGTCTTTTACACACAACTCTTTCACACACACCTCTTTCACGCACTGCCTTTCACACACGGCTCTTTCACATACAACATTGTCACACACACACACAACCTTTCCTTGTCACACACGGCACTTTCACACACACACAACTCTTTCACACACAGCTCTATCACAGACACGCAGTTCTTTCACACAATCTGTCTTCCACCATCTCCCATTTTCACACCTGTTTTGAGTTTGTTGGAAGAAATTAATATGTGGGGTTATCCGGTCCTTTTATTTTTTCTTTATGTTCGTCTTGTGAGATGTGCAGTAGGGTGAACCATGCAGGCGAAGCGTCAGAGCCCGCAAGTGCCACAACCCAAGGCCTTTCTGCTTATTTGGTATACTTGGTCACTTTTGTTTGCATCAGAATTCGTTGATGATCTTGCATCAACTTGGCATACAGCAGGCCGAAAGAGAAACTCCTGCAGAGGCTCACATTTCTTCTGTGACTAACACTTCTATGCGGCCTTGTACATTATTTTACATTGAAACACGACAAACTTTGCAGGTTGAGGTCGAGACGAAAACGCCAGATGTGGTTGCCGCATTCTCAGTAAAGCATGGAACTACGGTATGAATCAGTATGAAGTTTGAAAGCGTCGCATGTTCACTTCTGCTCTACCCTAGAAGCCCGAAGCAAATGTTTGGTTTTGGTGCCTGGTTGGGGCCTACAATCCTGGGGTGGACACAACTCTTCTGAACTGCAGGGTGCCATGCTGCTATAGACAATTTTCAGACCATTGCATTCCACGTGAAAATTGTGATCCGCAGCGGCAGTCTTGCTAGAGTCTTGCTTTTGGCAGCTACCCTCTGGTAAACTAACATAACTATGGAAAATCACCATTTTTAATGGGAAAACTCACTATACATGGCCATTTTCAATAGCTACGTTAAATTACCAGAGGGTATTGTGAATGAAGGGTCGAGGCGGTAGTAGCACCTTTGTGCATAGGTTTTCGTCAGTTTCGCTTCCCCGACCAGTTGTTTTGATAGTCTTGATATACATCACGCCTTTCAAGTTGTGCTGTCCATCTGGCTTGAAATCGAACCAAGGTAGTTGAGGCAGAAACGAATGTCTCGGCTTTGATCCAGGAAGCAGAACCGAAGCTTCCTTCGGTTGCAGTCAGTCAGGACAGCTTTGCTGCCTGCAACACAAACGAAGGGTAAGACATTATTTGCATGTGATACTCTTCTGATATTTTTGGTATTTTTTCTTTATGTTCGTCTTGTGAGATGTGCAGTAGGGTGAACCATGCAGGCGAAGCGTCAGAGCCCGCAAGTGCCACAACCCAAGGCCTTTCTGCTTATTTGGTATACTTGGTCACTTTTGTTTGCATCAGAATTCGTTGATGATCTTGCATCAACTTGGCATACAGCAGGCCGAAAGAGAAACTCCTGCAGAGGCTCACATTTCTTCTGTGACTAACACTTCTATGCGGCCTTGTACATTATTTTACATTGAAACACGGCAAACTTTACTCTCTCCAAAACTTGCCTTGAGCTGCCTAGCTACCCACAGAAATATATGAATAACCTGATGCCAAGTTAGTGAAACATGTCAAAACAGTGGGATTGAGGCCATATTAGTTTAAAGCGTTTGACATTATCCTTTCTAAGGTGAAATCGCACCCGATAGTCTAACGGTCTAGCATAGCCTCTTTTCCGCCAATACAGCCAATACCTACCATGTCAACATGACAAAAGGACAAGCCAAGTTAGGTGGACAACACTTGTATGGCTTGGTGTCCCCGCAGCTGAATTCTTGGACCTGTTGTGTTTCCCTGCAATCATTTGCTCTATTGAATCCAGATTTCCTGGGTTTTTCCTTCAAATTGGGTCTTCCTGGTCTAAATTCTAAATTGTCGGCACTTCGGATGGTTCAGGGGATGTGTAGGTGATTTTTGCAGCCAAGTGTGTGTGATCCCATGAACTTTAAATGCCTTTCACACACGGCTCTTTCACATACAACATTGTCACACACACACACACACAACCTTTCCTTGTCACACACGGCACTTTCACACACACAACTCTTTCACACACAGCTCTATCACAGACACGCAGTTCTTTCACACAATCTGTCTTCCACCATCTCCCATTTTCACACCTGTTTTGAGTTTGTTGGAAGAAATTAATATGTGGGGTTATCCGGTCCTTTTATTATTTCTTTATGTTCGTCTTGTGAGATGTGCAGTAGGGTGAACCATGCAGGCGAAGCGTCAGAGCCCGCAAGTGCCACAACCCAAGGCCTTTCTGCTTATTTGGTATACTTGGTCACTTTTGTTTGCATCAGAATTCGTTGATGATCTTGCATCAACTTGGCATACAGCAGGCCGAAAGAGAAACTCCTGCAGAGGCTCACATTTCTTCTGTGACTAACACTTCTATGCGGCCTTGTACATTATTTTACATTGAAACACGACAAACTTTGCAGGTTGAGGTCGAGACGAAAACGCCAGATGTGGTTGCCGCATTCTCAGTAAAGCATGGAACTACAGTATGAATCAGTATGAAGTTTGAAAGCGTCGCATGTTCACTTCTGCTCTACCCTAGAAGCCCGAAGCAAATGTTTGGTTTTGGTGCCTGGTTGGGGCCTACAATCCTGGGGTGGACACAACTCTTCTGAACTGCAGGGTGCCATGCTGCTATAGACAATTTTCAGATCATTGCATTCCACGTGAAAATTGTGATCCGCAGCGACAGTCTTGCTAGAGTCTTGCTTTTGGCAGTTATTGTGAATGAAGGGTCGAGGCGGTAGTAGCACCTTTGTGCGTAGGTTTTCGTCAGTTTCGCTTCCCCGACCAGTTGTTTTGATAGTCTTGATATACATCACGCCTTTCAAGTTGTGCTGTCCATCTGGCTTGAAATCGAACCAAGGTAGTTGAGGCAGAAACGAATGTCTCGGCTTTGATCCAGGAAGCAGAACCGAAGCTTCCTTCGGTTGCAGTCAGTCAGGACAGCTTTGCTGCCTGCAACACAAACGAAGGGTAAGACATTATTTGCATGTGATACTCTTCTGATATTTTTGGTATTTTTTCTTTATGTTCGTCTTGTGAGATGTGCAGTAGGGTGAACCATGCAGGCGAAGCGTCAGAGCCCGCAAGTGCCACAACCCAAGGCCTTTCTGCTTATTTGGTATACTTGGTCACTTTTGTTTGCATCAGAATTCGTTGATGATCTTGCATCAACTTGGCATACAGCAGGCCGAAAGAGAAACTCCTGCAGAGGCTCACATTTCTTCTGTGACTAACACTTCCATGCGGCCTTGTACATTATTTTACATTGAAACACGGCAAACTTTACTCTCTCCAAAACTTGCCTTGAGCTGCCTAGCTACCCACAGAAATATATGAATAACCTGATGCCAAGTTAGTGAAACATGTCAAAACAGCAGGATTGAGGCCATATTAGTTTAAAGCGTTTGACATTATCCTTTCTAAGGTGAAATCGCACCCGATAGTCTAACGGTCTAGCATAGCCTCTTTTCCGCCAATACAGCCAATACCTACCATGTCAACATGACAAAAGGACAAGCCAAGTTAGGTGGACAACACTTGTATGGCTTGGTGTCCCCGCAGTTGAATTCTTGGACCTGTTGTGCTTCCCTGCAATCATTTGCTCTATTGAATCCAGATTTCCTGGGTTTTTCCTTCAAATTGGGTCTTCCTGGTCTAAATTCTAAATTGTCGGCACTTCGGATGGTTCAGGGGATGTGTAGGTGATTTTTGCAGCCAAGTGTGTGTGATCCCATGAACTTTAAATGCCCGACAAACATCCAAACAGTGTGTTTTTTGGTTGCGTCGCCCCTCGTTGCGTACCTGAAGCCTCTGGTTGCTTTTCCACAGTGGCTCCCCGCAGCTGGGACCTGTCGTGGCTGTCACCGTTGCGCCTCCTTGCCCTCGTTGACAGGAAGTGGAAACCCTCTATTTAGACATTTAGTTTGCCTTCCATGCCTGTCCTCTGTAAAAGCTGTCCCTGCTCCCCGGCACTTCTGGCATTTGTTCTGTTCCCTGTTTTCATTCCCCATGATGGCCATATTGGCCATGTACCAGGGGCAAAAGAATTACCGTTTTGCTTGGCTTCGGTGGGTTTCATCGTGTTTGGGTGGGAAACCCAAACAACATGACAAAACCAAGGATGCGTTGGGTTTTGCTGGCAACCTGCCATGGTTGCATATGACTTGTGAAAATCCATGTTAGCCACTTCACTTTTGGATTTTGTTCGATGTGATCTGGATCTTCACCGCCTGCCGTTTCCAATCGTACATGTGGAGAATCCTATCCCAAGAGCTACGTTAGGTAGATTTCTCTGAGAAAACGCATATTCTCCACCGTTTTCGCTTTCTTTGGGAAGTTTCCGGGTTCTTTCTTTATTAGTAGCCATTCCTTCCATTTTTGTTGAAATGAGGGTGGCCTGACAGGATGTCTTGCAAGGGTAAAAGGAAACAATATTGATGAAAGGGATGAACACAAGTGCTGACATAGCCTCGCTGTAAGCAACTGGCCAGACTTGCAGATCATGGATAGAGGCTGATAGAGGCTATGTTAGCAGGATCTCTGCCTGCCCAGGATAGAGTGAACATTTCCAGGAGAAATGCAATGATTTTAATGGTTGTTTTTCACGAAAAATCGTTGACATGTTGGATGTAGCTTTGAAAAAGGGGACATGTTAAAATGCACACTATTTTTTGAACCCAAATTCCCCAAGGAAACCCTCTTTACAATGAAGACTTTGTTTGTTACAGTAATTCCCGAGAGCGTCTGAGCGAACGGTTCTTCTAATAGTGGGGGTCTGTCAAACCCTTTCACATCTTCACATCTTCACATCTTCACATCTTCACATCTTCACATCTTCACATCTTCACATCTTCAAATCTTCACATCTTCTCATCCTCACATCCTCACATCTTCACATCCTCATATCTTCACATCGTCTCATCTTCACATCTTCTCATCTTCACATCTGTTCATCTTCACATCTTCACATCTTCTCATGTTCACATCCTCACATCTTCACATCTTCTCATCTTCACATCCTCACATCCTCAACCCTCTTCACATCTTCTCATCTTCTCATCTTCGCATCTTCTCATCTTCACATCTGTTCATCTTCACATCTTCTCATCTTCACATCCTCACATCTTCACATCTTCTCATCTTCACATCCTTATATCCTCACATCCTCACATCTTCACATCCTCACATCTTCACATCTTCTCATCTTCACATCTGCTCATCTTCTCATCCTCTCATCTTCTCATCTTCAAATCTTCACATCTTTCCATTCTCTCTTGCCCTCTTGCTCTCTTGCCCTCTTGCTCTCTCCTTCATTTACAACCTCCGCGGTAACCCTGTGTGTAAACGTGTCGGTGTGTAAAAGTTTCTGTATGTAAACCTGTCTGTGCGTGAACGCTTCTGTGTGTAAACGTTTCTGCGTGTAAAAGCGTCTGTGTGTAAAAGCTTCTGTGTGTAAACGTGTCTGTGTGTAAAAACTTCTGTGTGTAAAAACGTCTGTGTGTAAAAGCGTCTGTGTGTAAAAGCGTCTCTGTGTAAAAGCGTCTGTGTGTAAAAGCGTCTGTGTGTAAAAGCGTCTGTGTGTAAACGCGTCTCTGTGTAAAAACGTCTGTGTGTAAACGCGTCTGGGTGTAAAAGCTTCTGTGTGTAAAAGCGTCTGTGTGTAAAAGCGTCTGTGTGTAAAAGCTTCTTTGTGTAAACGCGTCTGTGTGTAAACGCCTCTGTGTGTAAACGCGTCTGTGTGTAAAAGCGTCTCTGTGTAAAAGCGTTTGTGTGTAAAAGCGTCTGTGTGTAAAAGCTTCTTTGTGTAAACGCCTCTGTGTGTAAATGCTTCTGTGTGTAAAAGCGTCTGTGTGTAAACTCGTCTGTGTGTAAAAGTGCTGTGTGTAAAAGCGTTTGTGTGTAAAAACGTCTGTGTGTAAAAGCTTCTTTGTGTAAACGCGTCTGTGTGTAAACACTTCTGTGTGTAAAAGCGTCTGTGTGTAGACGCGTCTGTGTGTAAAATAGCGTCTCTGTGTAAAAGCGTCTGTATGTAAAAGTGTTTGCGTGTAAAAGGTTCTACGTGTAAAAGCGTCTGTGTGTAAAAGCGTCTGTGTGTAAAAACCTATGTGTGTAAAAGTGTCTGTGTGTAAAAACTTCTGTGTGTAAAAACGTCTGTGTGTAAAAGCGTCTGTGTGTAAAAGCGTCTCTGTGTAAAAGCGTCTGTGTGTAAAAGCGTCTGTGTGTAAAAGTCTCTGTGTGTAAAAACTTCTGTGTGTAAAAGTGTCTGTGTGCAAAAGTGTCTGTGTGTAAAAAGGTTCTGTGTGTGAAAACCTATACTATTGTCTTGTACTTGTAATATAGTGTCCCAATACTAACAACAGAAGACCACGCTCTCGGGCCATCAGTCGTCTAGTTGTATGTTTGTGCGGTCAGGTGGAGACAAAAATGCCAGATGTGGTTGCCGCATTCTCAGTACATTATAAAATCACAATATGAAGCTTAAAAGCGTCGTTCGTTCACTTCGGCTCTACCCTAAAAGCCAAAGCAAGTGTTTGGTTTTGGTGCCTGGTTCGGGCCCACAAGCCTGCCAATAGACACTGTGGTGCGGTTATAGACACTAGCTGCAGTTCTTGTGAATGAAGGGTCGAGGCGGTAGTAGCACCTTTGTGCGTAGGTTTTCGTCAGTTTCGCTTCCCTGACCAGTTGTTTTGATAGTCTTGATATACATCCCGCCTTTCAAGTTGTGCTGTCCATCTGGCTTGAAATCGAACCCAGGTAGCTGAGGCAGAAACGAATGTCTCGGCTTTGATCCAGGAAGCAGAACCGAAGCCTCCTTCGATTGCAGTCAATCAGGACGGCTTTGCTGCCTGCAAAACAAACGAAGGGTAAGTCATTGTTTGCACGTGATACTCTGTCCGATATTTTTAAATGTTCATCTTGTGATTCCGAAGTGCTGATGTGCAGATGTGCAGTAGAGTGAACCATTCAGGCGAAGCGTCAGGGGCCACGGTTGCCACAACCCAAGGCCTTTCTGCTTATTTTATCTTATTTTGTCACTTGTTTGCATCAGAACTCGTTGATGATGTTGCATCAACTTGGCATACAGCAGGCCGAAAGAGAAACTCCTGCAGAGGCTCACATCTCTTCTTTGGCCGCCATTTCTATGCGGACCTGTACATTATTTTACATTGAGACACGACAAACTTTGCCGGTTCAGGTGGAGACAAAAATGCCAGATGTGGTTGCCGCATTCTCAGTACATTATAGAATCACAATATGAAGCTTAAAAGCGTCGTTCGTTCACTTCGGCTCTACCCTAAAAGCCAAAGCAAGTGTTTGGTTTTGGTGCCTGGTTCGGGCCCACAAGCCTGCCAATAGACACTTTGGTGCGGTTATAGACACTAGCTGCAGTTCTTGTGAATGATGGGTCCAGGTAGTAGCACCTTTGTGCGTAGGTTTTCGTCAGTTTCGCTTCCCTGACCAGTTGTTTTGATAGTCTTGATATACATCCCGCCTTTCAAGTTGTGCTGTCCATCTGGCTTGAAATCGAACCCAGGTAGCTGAGGCAGAAACGAAGGTCTCGGCTTTGATCCAGGAAGCAGAACCGAAGCCTCCTTCGGTTGCAGTCAATCAGGACGGCTTTGCTGCCTGCAAAACAAACGAAGGGTAAGTCATTGTTTGCACGTGATACTCTTTCCGATATTTTTAAATGTTCATCTTGTGATTCCGAAGTGCTGATGTGCAGATGTGCAGTAGAGTGAACCATTCAGGCGAAGCGTCAGGGGCCACGGTTGCCACAACCCAAGGCCTTTCTGCTTATTTTATCTTATTTTGTCACTTGTTTGCATCAGAACTCGTTGATGATGTTGCATCAACTTGGCATACAGCAGGCCGAAAGAGAAACTCCTGCAGAGGCTCACATCTCTTCTTTGGCCAACACTTCTATGCGGCCCTGTACATTATTTTACATCGAGACACGACAAACTTTGCCGGTTCAGGTGGAGACAAAAATGCCAGATGTGGTTGCCGCATTCTCAGTACATTATAGAATCACAATATGAAGCCTAAAAGTTTAGAGCGTTCACTTCGGCTCTACCCTAAAAGCCAAAGCAAGTGTTTGGTTTTGGTGCCTGGTTGGGGCCTACAATCCTGGGGTGGACACAAATGATCTTCTGAACTGCAGGGTGCCATGCTGCTATAGCTGCTATAGACAATTTTCAGATCATTGCATTCCACGTGAAAATTGTGATCCACAGCGACAGTCTTGCTAGAGTCTTGCTTTTGGCAGTTATTGTGAATGAAGGGTCGAGGCGGTAGTAGCACCTTTGTGCGTAGGTTTTCGTCAGTTTCGCTTCCCTGACCAGTTGTTTTGATAGTCTTGATATACATCCCGCCTTTCAAGTTGTGCTGTCCATCTGGCTTGAAATTGAACCAAGGTAGTTGAGGCAGAAACGAATGTCTCGGCTTTGATCCAGGAAGCAGAACCGAAGCTTCCTTCGGTTGCAGTCAATCAGGACGGCTTTGCTGCCTGCAAAACAAACGAAGGGTCCCTCATTATGATTGCAATTTGGAGACACGGCAGATTTTCAGATTTTCTTGCTCCGGTCTGGCTAGTGAGTTTTTTGGGGATTGGGTAAAAGGTGGTCGTTTTCTGCGTCGCTGTCAAAATGTCTGGTTTGGCTATTCTTTGAGCATCCTGGTAGGTGCTGGTGTGGGACACATTTGGAAGAGGGTGTTGTGGGGGGAATGATTTGTCATTCTTAGTATATTTTGCAATGTTTTTTGTTGCATTTTGTGAACGTTGAGAATGCTGCAATTTGCGATGTTTCCTCAATTGATGTCTTTTTCATGCTTTTTCTACTTGATCTAAGAGATAAAACAATTGCAAGGTGAAATGCAGAATGCAGTAATTTGTGGTTAGTTAAGTTTTTTTTGAGCAGATGTCATTCAAGGGTTGTGCGGAGAGGTAGTAACCTGATCCAGCCCATGAACCGGAAAGCACATTACGTAAAACAGTGTTGTAAGGAACTTACAGCAACAGTCTTGTGTATTATTCCCCTGTTACCGTACCATTGTAGACTGTGGGGTGTGGAGTGCTGGGGGAGTGTAGAGTGGGGGGTGTAAGTGTCTAAAGAGTGGAGTGTGGAGTCTAGAGTGTGGAGTGTGACCTCTATATAGAGTGTGGAGTTTACAGTGTAGAGTGTTGCGTGTGGAGTGTGGAGTGTAAGGCGTGGAGCGTAGAGTGTAGAGTCTGTGTACACTCAGTGTAGAGTCAGTGTATCCAAAGTGTAGAGTGTGGAGTTTTCAAGACATCCAAAAATGCAGTCGCTATAGGCATCATCGTTGTGAGCGGTTGCGGACGGTTAACATTTCGCATGGCCGCGGACGACTGGGGACAGTTTCGAACGGTTGCCAACAGCAAAGCAATGTCAAGCGATTCCACCTCAGGGCCAGACCCCCAAAGTGAAACGAAACCCTTCGCTATGCATTCGGGGAAAAGAGCATTTTTTTCAAGTGGTCAGAAAATGCATGCAGAGCACTGTTTGCGGGTACTGGACTTAAATGTACGTGCGTGTTTTTTTTTGAATGGATATGCGACAAGCCACAGTTTAGAATATTTAGAATACTTCCGTTGTTTGTCGTTTTTTCCAATCAGAATACTTCCGTTGTTTGTCGTTTTTTCCTAATATAATGAGAGAAACGTGGACAACCTCTCTTATAGCAGTGTTATTGAAAAAACGCGGGAAATACATGGAAAGACTTGTGTTCTGTGCCCGGGAGTTGTGATGTGTTTTGCAAAAAAAACGCATGGGAGGTGGCAGAACCTTTGGCATTTACTGCGTGTTGTCTGGATTTGGAAGGCGACTGGACAAATAGCAATATCATTAGTCTTGGAGGCGAGAACGACGGTGCCGTTACAGCGGTACACAAAGGATGTTTGAAGACGCTGAACATACCTATATGTTGAGGCTCTGAAGGATTTGGGAGGATGTGACAAGAAATTGTTTTTGCAATCGCTGTTGGTGTTTTCTTGGAACCTGACTCCAGTTCATGCTAAGGCCAGGGCTAGTGCCCGGGGAACCGTACGTGCGTTAAGCGATTTTTGGCAACTAAGACTGAAGATCATGCTACGCTACTGGATGCTACGCATGATGTATCTTCGTGTAGGGAGGGGTTCGAGGGTGGACCGGTTTTTCAACGTTCCTTGCAATCTGCTGAGTTGCCGCCTAAACTTGTACCTTCTCGCTGTGGCGGGGTGTGTCACGACTTGAAAAGTGCACATTTATCAGGAAGGCTCTGTTTACTCCAACAAACCAAACATGTTGCGTATGCCGTATGCCGTATGCCAATGAATTTGCGCAATTTCTTTTCAGCCCCTGGGACTAAGATGATTTTGCCTTCCAATCCATGCAACAATCCACAAATTGCCACCCAAAAAGCTGAAAGAATGCGGTGAGATATCATGCAAAAACACATGCGCAGAAAACCCTCCGCCAGGATGTTTGTGTCAGAGAATATGCGAATTTGCCAGCATGAATTAATTTGTAAATGACTACTGTAGTTGGCTGAAGCGTTTTGATGGCCAATTAGCGGTGGTGACATTTCGACTTTGTTAGGGGCTGGCTTTCGTCCCCCACTTCTCAGGTTTTCTGCCATTTGCATTGTTTTAAGCTCTCTGTTTGTGGTTTGGCGTGCAGTAGACTGAACAATTCAGGGAAAGCGCCAGAGCCCGCGATTGCCACAACCCAAGGCCTTACTCCTTATTTTGTCACATTTTGTTTGCATCACAATTCGTTAATCATGTTGCAGCACCTTGTCATGCAGCAAGGCGGAAAGAGAACTCCTGTAGAAAATCATGTGCATATGTGGCCAACACTCGTAGACACTTTCCATTGAAACCAGATGAAACGTGACAAACCTTACGGGTTCAGGTGGAGACAAAAACGCCAGATGTGGTTGCCGCATTCTCAGTAAAGCATGGAATTACAGTATGAAGTTTGAAAGCGTCGCATGTTCACTTCTGCTCTACCCTAGAAGTCTGAAGCAAGTGTTTGGCTTTGGTGCCTGGTTGGGGCCCACAATCCTCCCAATAGACACTCGGGTGCACACAAAGTATATCCCGCAAGACGCATCTTGTTGCCTCGTGCTTTGCAAGCCAATCACGCATGAAAGTCAAAACATTTACTGTATATATATATATATTGCAATATATTATAATTATATGATACAAAGGATCCAAACTGCAGGAGATCCTTTGTTTTTTGTTTTTTTCCAGCTTGTTTGACAATTTGACATAGTATCTTTCGGATCTTTCCGCATCAAAGGCAAGTGAGCGGCAAGACAAAGCCAAGGCTTGTGGTGAGGTCAGTGCAGTCATGTAGATTGTTTGCACAATGTTTGCCCAATGTTTGCACAATGATTTCTTTTTTTGGAGCAAGGCAACTGCTTTAGATTACTACATGTACGCTACAGTATACAGTTACACATTTTTTCCCATATATTTGATCTTAAGTCTAAATAGTTTGCAAAGCATCTAGACTGTGCCTGTCATCCAGGCCAGGAAGCCTGGTTTTGACTGGATTCGGCTGGTCCAACACCCAAAAGAAAAGGGTTAGCAGAGCAATGGCCACTGCGAAGAGTGAGTTGTTGTTGTTGTTGTTGTCGTCGTCGTCGTCGTCGTCGTCGTCGAAGTCGTCGTCGTCGTCGTCGTCGTGGTTGTTGTTGTTGTTGTTGTTGTTGTTGTTGTTGTTGTTGTCGTTGTCGTTGTCGTTGTCGTTGTAGTTGTCGTCGTCGTCGTCGTCGTCGTCGTGGTTGTTGTTGTTGTTGTTGTTGTTGTTGTTGTTGTTGTTGTTGTTGTTGTTGTTGTTGTTGTTGTTGTCGTTGTCGTTGTCGTTGTCGTTGTCGTTGTCGTTGTCGTCGTCGTCGTCGTGGTTGTTGTTGTTGTTGTTGTTGTCGTTGTCGTTGTCGTTGTCGTTGTCGTCGTCGTCGTGGTTGTTGTTGTTGTCGTTGTCGTTGTCGTTGTCGTTGTCGTTGTCGTCGTCGTCGTCGTCGTCGTCGTGGTTGTTGTTGTTGTTGTTGTTGTTGTCGTCGTTGTCGTCGTCGTCGTCGTCGTCGTCGTGGTCGTGGTTGTCGTGGTTGTCGTGGTTGTCGTGGTTGTCGTTGTTGTTGTTGTTGTTGTTGTGTTTCCTGTGTCCTGCTTTTTGATGAATGATGTGCCTGAGGCCAAAATCGACTCAATTCTGCTGGGTTGTGAGAGCAACTTCTTCGTAAATCGTCAAGGTTCCAATTCGCGACGCAACAAGGAATTGAGATTCTGTGACGTCGTCCTGACTTCGTGAACTAGGGCCTAGTTACAAGGCAAGAAGACAACAGAAAGGTTGGTATGCTTTGACCACAGTGAGCATCTCCAGATCCAGGAATCTTGTGCCCAATGTCGAGGGTCATTGTAGATTTGTGTTTGTTTGTGTATCAGTAAGCTGGATCATGTCATCCAAGTTTCTTCTTCCGCTTTTGAACTGATGAAAATCAGTTATCACTAAGCTCAATCTTTCTTCGGTTTTCAAAGTGAGCACTAGAGACAAAAGAATTGTTGTTGAAATGTACATTTTGATACAGGCAGGTACCATGCGTATTTAATGAAGGGTGGCTGATTTGGCATGCTTGTCGAGCAGGACACTGCAATTGAATACGCAAGCAAAGCTCTTACAATTCAATTTCAATGACTCAATGACCGTTAAAGTTAAAGCTTCAATTTCAACATAACAAGACACCTAAGGCCAAGAGTTTGAAGTTGCATAGCCATGTCAACACTGTGCCACCCAAGACAGACAGACATATGCAAAGTGTATGCTTGATGTGCTTGTGTTGCAGAGACAAATAGAAACAAAGCATCAGCGCATCAGCGCATGAGCGCATCAGCATGCCGAGTCCGATGATTTTTCGATTCCTGGTCCCTGCAGAAGCAACTGCACTGATTGTGGGCGAGGTTGGGGTGACCAAACAGATTCCAGACGCTTGCATTACTGTTTCGGATGAAGGTGATACTCCTGGACTAAGTGACCGCATCATCACCATCAGTGGTGACCAGCAGCATGGTGAGGCTGCTTGTGAGATGATTATTCAGCGGCTGTATGAAGCACAAGAGGTCGCCTCAGGTGACCAGGGTATTTTCGTACTGCTGGTGCCAGACTCATTTGAGAGTGAAGATGTTCTGCAAAAGGTGCGAGATATCTCAGGTGCAGATATTCACTTAGAACCTGAAGCCATTGCTGGCACAGATGAAGGGGCTCTTCAAATTGTGGGTGGCTACCAGGAAACGGTGTCGGCTGTGTTTCAGCTCGGTGCTTTGATAGCGTTTGACCCTTTGGAGGCACCTGATTTGGATGTTCAGACTGGGCATGCTGCATACTTTCGAGATGAAGCTGCTTTGAATGAAAGACCGACAGACCCAAATTATTCAGATCTGGGCCCACCTGTCGAGAAAGTGGAGAAAGTGGAGACAGAGCTGGAAGAACCGCAGCCTAAAGAGCCTTTCCTGCCGGAGCCGTTAGGTCCTGAGGCGCAACCTGAGCCGGCCGATCCAGTCGATTCACCAATTGAGTCACGCGTTGCCATGGCTCAGAATGGGACGCAAGCGGCAGAAGCTCAAGCTGCAGAGGTGGACGTGGAGAAGGCCGTGCAGCCTGACTCACCTGACTCACCTGATTCAGCTGACCGTGCGGAAGCGGAGGAAGCAGAGGAAGCAGAGGAAGCAGAGGAAGCAGGTGCACAGCTGTCGCTTTTGTCTGACGCTGAGCCTTTGGAAGCTGAGGCTGAAGAGATTGAATTTGTTGAGTTTGTTGAAGCTGAAGCAGAAACTGCTCGCCAGATGCCCACGTCAGCATGCTTTGCAGTGTCTGCATCGGTGGCTGCCTGGATTGTGGGACGCAAGGGTCAATCCATTATAAGCTTGCGCACTCGCAGCAAAGCCAGGATTGAAGTATCCAATGAGAATTCTGTTTATCGCATGATTGAAATCCATGGACAGCAAGATGCTGTAATGCTGGCGATAGAGCTTTTGCTGGAGCAAATGTCCGTGCTACCAGATGGAAGTCCCGAATTCGTTCGGATGGTGCTGCCTCCAAACAGTGCTGGCTACATCATTGGTCGGGGAGGTGAATCCATCAAGGAACTTCGCAGAAGATCTGGAGCACAGATTGACTTAGATCAGGGCAGTGTCCAAGATGACAAGTTGCTGAAAATCTGTGGATCAGTCAAAGAAATGACAAAAGCATCTCAGCTTGTGGCCGAGCGTTTGGCAGCAGATGGCAAATTTGGCAAATTTGACAAAAGATCTGACATCGACCAGCTCCAGGCGCTGCTCACTGAGTCCAACCACTTGGAAGCCAGCTTAACAATGCTCATTCCAGCTGACGCTGTGAACAGGGTCCCTAAAGCACGCCTTTCCCAGGTTGAACGCCTGACAGGATCTGTCATTGAAGTTGATGGTCTCGGTGGCCGCACGTCTGGGGTGCAACAGTTGCAACTTGTTGGCACTCGGAATGGCAATGCCATGGCCATCCTTTACTTGCAGGAGATTTTTGCGGAGCACTTGCGAACGCTTGGAGTAAAAAGTGGGGGTCAAGCGGACAAAGCGGACAAAGTGGTACCGCGGAGCAAGAGTTCCGGCCGCACCAACAGTGCACAAAATCGTTCTTCTAGCCGCGGGCCCCGAGGGCCCCGAGGGCCCCTGGGGCCTCAAAGCCGAGGTCCTACAGGTCCTCAGGGAAAGGGAACTGCCAAAGGCATGCAAAGTCGTCGCCAATGAGCAGACATGAGCAGACCCATGGATCAAAACTGATCAAAGCTGGTCAAAAAAGATGCTGCAGATATTTGCAGATGATGGTTGTCCCATGTTGTCCCAAATCTTGGCTGAGGAAACAGAGATTCAAGGTGGGGAAAGGAACGAAGGAATAGGTTTGACTTGTTTTACCTTTCAGTTGCGAAGGTTGTGGAGGCATGTAATAATCATTTTGGATGGTTTTAGCATGTTTTATCGTTTGTTGTTTGGCCTGTTTGACATGTGATTCAGAAGTGATTTGGCTGTGCGAGGTGATGGTAGCCGAATCCCAGGCCAAGAGCCTGAGCCGTGTGAAAGCAGTGGAGCCTTTTCTGAATTTGGTGATTTCAGTTATGGCATGTTATGGTACTTGTAGCCACTTGTAGCCACTTGTAGCCACTTGTAGCCACTTGTAGCCGAATCAGCTCCCGTTGACCGAGTGTTGACTGAGTTGACAGGGGACACTAAAAGTATCGAATCTGCTAGAGGCTGAAGTTGGAGCGAAGTGATTTCTGCCATGTGTCATGTGCCTTGAAGATGTTTGAAATGGATAAGCCACGTTATGATTGAGCTGATGTATTTGTCTTCTTTCTGTGGTATTCTGGCCAAATTTCGGCAGTGTCCCACTTACATGGTGACTGTGTTGCAGTCTTCTAACTGATGCAATTGTACTTAATTCTATTTAATTCTTAAGTTGCGGTCGCTGCTTAGTCGCTTAGAGTCAGCATGTATTTCTTTAAACATGTTTTCATCGCCTTGGTCATTCCCGTCGCTTGCATCGTATTTTGGTCATGTCGCTCTACATGGGAAACATTCCAGGCTTCTCAATCAAGCCTAGCTAAGTGTGTGCAATCCGGTCTTGTGAGCGGTTGTCTCTTCTCGTTTTTGTTCACTTCAAAAATTAATGCCGCCTTAATGTCTCCTGTTTGCCGTCATGCTTTGCGGTGATGGTGCCCAAAAGAACGCTAATCATCACTGGTCCGATGGCACAAGACTCAGATGATGCTTCAGGTCATTTTGTTTTAAATGGTGGAAATGGTGGACCTGAAGCTTCAGGTTCATTGCTGGCAGTGTGTCCTTGCCGATGATGTCCTACTTGCGTGGCCCTGTCACTCATGATTGAACTTTGAATTTTACCGTTATCACAATGGCGTCATAAAATAGCATCAATGGTCTTGTGGAGTTCTTCTGCATTTCATGGTATGCTGGCCGAGCCTATGCTGCAATCGCGGTCCTTGAAGTTGCTTGTGGTCTTCTAGGGTCTCCGGTACGCAGGTGCCTCATGATGATGATGATGATGATGGTGGTGGTGGTGGTGGTGGTCAATATTGACTAGTGACTAGTGATGCAACTAGGCAGGATGCGAATGATCGCGTTGATGCTGTTCTCTTGTTGTTCTTATTGTTATTGTGGTTCTTGTGGTGTGTGTGTTTTTTGTTGTTTTTGTTGTCGTTCTCCCTATGCCTGTCTCGTTTCTCAATGCTTGTTTTTTTTTGTGATGATATCCACTAGTGCTTGCCTAAGGCTCAGAGGATGAGGAGGAGAGACGTGCTGTGAGCGACAAAACTTTTTTCTCACCATGAAAGCAGCAGAAAACCCTTCTCCCCCAGCAGTCTGCCCATTGAGGGCTTTTTACTCAGGAGAAAGGACTTGTTTTTGGTGTGTTTGTTGCTATTTCGTAACTTGGGTTTGGTTGCACTGAGATTTGTTTCAATCTGGGTCAAACCAGGATGACATGGACGAAAGCGAAGAGTCGGAGCAGGACAGCCCTGTACAGGCCTCGTAAGGTCCAGCATGGCCATCATTGTCCACCACTACGGCAGTGCAATGACAAAATCGACAAAGTGTGGCCGAAGAGTTTAGAGAGTTCGCTGAGTTATCCCAGGAACTTTCAGTATTTCCCTTGTCAAAAGGTTGCTACCAGAAGAGCATGTATGCTTGTCGCATTCTTTTTGCCAACAGTTACTTGCATGTGAAGGAGTTGGAAAACCATATGAAATTTTGTCATGACAAGCACGGACAGCGACAGATTTCAGTCCACTCCTGAAGGAGTCAGACGCAGCGGCTGACCCTGCCAAGATTCTGAACGCAGGCAGTAATGTGTTCTTTTGTGGCAAGTCACACTCCTGATATAAACTCTCAAAAGAAAGTTTCAGATGTTTCGCAGATAGTCAAGATGCCATCTGAAAGGACCAGCTGATGATGAATTTGAAGAAGAAGAGGAGGAGGAGGAGCATTTGGCCGTGCAAAAAGCATGTCATGAAAGAATCAGCGGAGAGAAGATGACGGCGACGACAACGCACTTTGCGTCCAACATTGTGAGGAGGAGGACGACGAGGTGGAGGAGCTGGATCAAGATGTTCGGAACCCTGGACACCTGTCATGTTTGAAACCGTACTGATCACTCCGACCTAGGAAAAAGTTCGGAAGCAGTTCGGAAACAGTCAAGCGGTGCCAAACAAATTTCAAAGTGAAACAACCAGGCAGCGGAGGAAATCCAGCAAGAGGCAGCAAGCACATTTGCAGTGGCCACCACCAGGCACCCCGAAAATGTGAACAGACATAAGTGATCATAAGTGACATTAATTGACATCTACTGCAACCACTGCAAGAATGCTGCACAGTACAACGTACTGCGTTTTGATATGCTGTATGCACTGTATGCCACTGGACTCACTGCACTACAGGCCTAAGGCGAAGGCAGCCTTGCTCCAAGCTGGAGGGAAACACCTGATTTTCCAGACCCAACAGACTCAGACTGGTTTGAGTACGGCCATGTACGGCCCACAAAGGGTAAAAGCAGGAAGACCCTCAGGCTCCTCCAGAGCTGGTGCAGCAGATGAGCGCGGCCAAGGTTGCTGTGCAAAGTTTCAGAAATTTTTGTTCTACCATGTTCTACCAATCCTAAAGAAATGAGAGAGGATTTATTGATGAACTTATCAGGTGTTTCCGAATTGTTTCCGAGTTGATTCCGCATTCTTTGAGTCAAAACCTCGTAGGCGACGCGGCCGAAGCCTGCACCTGCCGTGCCGCCTCCACTTCACTCGCGACCAGCCAGAGAGGCCAGGTATGAACACAAGTGCGGTTGGACATCACCATTGTAGACGTAGATCTTTCTTGATCTACTACTGGATAATCTATAATAAATACAATTGATGAATTCATTGTGTTTTCTTATGTTTTTTTTGCTGTCGATATGTGTACTTTGGTGCCCGGCTTGCTGAGTTGGTCTGGCCTTTGATCAGTTTCTTGTGGGGCTCAACCCAGAAAAGAGATAAAATGAGGTTGAGAGAGAGATGGAGAGAGTGATGTGCCCCATGCCGCCTATGCCTATGACAAAACAGCTGCATATTCATTGAATGATCGCATCGAATCACATTCATATTAGACTATGGCTATATGCTATATATGGCTATATTTACTCGCAATGCATTAGATTCATGTATTACTCTTTCCATTATTGCAGGGGAAGGCACAGGCAGCTGATCCAACGGAGGAGGCGTGTGGTGCCGCCTTGTAACTTTGCAGAAACTGTACAAGTCCTAAAGCTCAGCCCAGTGTAGCAAACCTTCGCAAGCAGTCCCACTCTTTGGACAGGAAGAGGGAAAGGGTGAGGCTGGGTTGTGGCAACGAGGGAAACGGTCGTTCCAGATTTCAGAACATCCTGACTTTTTCTTTTTGCCCTTGCAAAATTTGCAAAGGGAGTATAATTCTTCTGAATAACGTTGTTGTTTCTGGCAGTTTCAGGTGGGATTTCGGGACAGAGTGATTATATAAGGTTGGTGGCATTGGATAGTTGCTGGTGCATCTCATAGTGCAGGGTATTGAATTACCGGGTATTGGTTTGACGCAGAAAGCATTGAGAAGGGGGCGTTGGCACTTTGACACTGTAGCTATATTCAAGAGAAGACTCTGGAGAAAGTTTTGTTTTCACATGTTATGGACTATTACTATTACTGTACCCAAATGACAAACATCTATTTCCCCAATAGCGATAGCTTCGGGTTGTTAACTCTAAAGGCGGTCCGGCGCCGTCGGGTTTACGGCTGCCGGCCGTCTCGGTGGTGTCTCGGTGGTGTCGGGTGTCTCGGTGGTGTCTCGGTGGGTGTCTCGGTGGGTGTCTCGGTGGTGTCTTGGTGGTGTCTCGGTGGGTGTCTCGGTGGTGACTCGGTGGGTGTCTCGGTGGTGTCTTGGTGGTGTCTCGGTGGGTGTCTCGGTGGTGTCTCGGTGGGTGTCTCGGTGGTGACTCGGTGGGTGTCTCGGTGGTGTCTTGGTGGTGTCTCGGTGGGTGTCTCGGTGGTGTCTCGGTGGGTGTCTCGGTGGTGACTCGGTGGGTGTCTCGGTGGTGTCTTGGTGGTGTCTCGGTGGGTGTCTCGGTGGTGTCTCGGTGGGTGTCTCGTGGGTGTCTCGGTGGTGTCTCGTGGGTGTCTCGGTGGTGTCTCGGTGGGTGTCTCGGTGGTGCTCGGTGGTGTCGGTCTCGGTGGTGTCTCGGAGGTGGTGGGTGGTGGGTGGTCTCGGTGGGTGTCTCGGTGGGTGTCTCGGTGGGGTGGTGGTGTCTCGGTGGTGTCTCGGTGGGTGTCTCGGTGGGTGTCTCGGTGGTGTCTCGGTGGTGTCTCGGTGGTGTCTCGGTGTGGGGTGGGTGTCTCGGTGGTGTCTCGGTGGTAGGTGTCTCGGTGGGTGTCTGGTCTCTGGTGTCTCGGTGGTGTCTCGTTGCTGGGTCTCGGTGGGTGTCTCGGTGGGTGTCTCGGTGGGTGTCTCGGTGGTGTCTCGGTCTCGGTGGTCTCTTGCTGGTCTCTTGCTGGTCTCTTGCTGGTCTCTTGCTTTTCTTGCTGTCTCTTGCTGGTCTCTTGCTGGTCTCTTGCTGGTGTCTTGCTGGTCTCTTGCTGGTTTCTTGCCTCAAGATGTTGCGAATACCGTCCACTTGCAGGTTTGAGCTTCAGAAAGTCGTAAAAATAGCATCCAATTAACAGACGTCAATTTCAAAATGCTCATGCGGTTTACCAGTGATAGTTGCAATACTGCAAAGACTATGCGATGCACCAAAATTTGCACCAGTATGCTGCACACCCTGTGCAAGTGATAGTTTTTGGTTTCTAGAAATTGCGAACATTCTACAGTGTGCTGATTTTTTGCTTCAGAGGGCCGTGAACATCACAGCACAGTTTGCAGATATGATCCCATATCTTGCAACTACCATGCAACTTGCCGATGTTAGCTTTGCACTGCTGCAAAAATTACCCGATGGCAAAGCTCCGTGCAGTGAACTGGTGTTGCATCATGCCATGCAATGTACGGGTGCTAGTTGCAGAACGCTGCAAATACCGAGCAATTTTGCGGCAGATTCTACGCAGCTTAGAGGTTCGTGCTTTTACCCAGGGATGGTTTTACACGCAAATACCTTCATGCGCAGGTGTTTTTGCACAGGGATGCTTTTATACAAACAACTTTTGTGCACAGACGCGTGGGTACTTGTACACACAGATACCTTTACACAGCGGTGCTTTTACGGAGGAGTGCTTTTACACGCACGTGCGTTTACACAGGGCTTCTTTTGACACAAATGAGCTTTTACACACAGAATATTTTAGGGTAAATACTCTTAAGCACAGATGTTCTTTACACAGACAAACATATGTACAAAGGCGTCTGTTTAGACACATATACTTTTACAAAAAACCGGAGAGATGCTTTTACACACAGGTGCTTTTAGACCAGGACGCATCTAGGAAGAGGCACTCTTACATGGGTGGCTGGAAACACGATTTGGGGCAGGGTTCAAGCCATTCGGGAATTAAGTTTCCAGCCATTTTGCTTTTACCGAGAGATGCGTTTACATACAAGGTCTTCTACACAGGGAGGGGCCTTCACACAGAGATGATTTGATGCAGAGAGTTTACAAAGGGAAACTTCTACTTACAAATGTTCTTACACAGAGATACTTTCAACACAGAGATGCTTTTACACACGGGTGCTTAAGATACAAATGGGATGATTTTGCTAAGAGAAACTTTTAGACGCAGGCGGGTTTTCACATGAGTACCTTTACACCTTTACACAGAGATGTTTCTACACAGGTGTTTTTACATGTTAATACGTCTACAATACACAGTGCTTTACGCGCACATTCTTTTACACGCAAGCACTTTTACACAGAGGCACTTTGACACACCGTGGCAGGCACGTTTACATGCAAATACTTTTACACGGCGGTGTTCATTTTGCGTGCGTTTTCTCTACATACACGCATGCTCTGTCACAGGGATGCCTTTGATCACACATGCTCTTACACAGATATTTTTACACGGGGACACCTTTGCACAGAGAAATGCCTTTTTTTACACACAAATGTTTTTACAGAGAGATGATCTTACACTGAGCAATTTGACACAGAAACCAAAACAAACAGAGGTGCTTTTACAAAGGAATGCATGTGCACGAAGGGTTTTTTAGCTACGGGCATTTTCACACAGACATACTACAGAATTATTTCCTGTGGCGGACACGCGTATGGCGCAAAGAGTTCAGCAAGCATATGCAAAATCACAGTTTAACTACAGCTTTTGATGGACGAGACGCATTTAGTGTGAAAAGGGTTGGCCTAGAACAAACCCACATTGCAATTTGACCTCAATGTATGACGATCGACATTTCGTGCGAAAGGGTTGCATTTCGTGGACGTCAATCCACGCCGCCCTGCCGCTCGAAGAGAAAATTAGAAACAATCAAGGTTGTAGGTGTCTGTAAGAAATTGATCTCCACCTGCGTCTTTACATCTGCCACTCCACACCTGCATATATCCACTTCTCGTTTCCAAAAAACGATTTCCGCCGGCATCTATTAATCTTCCGCACTACACCTGCAGATGGCATATATTCGTTTGGTAGTTGTGTTAAAGAAGGTTCTGTCAACCTGCGTTTTTGAATCTGCTTCTACTGACGCCCGTCAGTAAGATTCATGCTTGCATCTACACCTGTATACATAAATCTCATTTTGTAGATGTATTAAAACGAGGAAGAAGATGTTTTTTGATGATGATGATGATGATGACTACTACAATTGGTGATGATACGGCAGGGTTCATGAAAAAGAAGAAAATGTTGATGATGAAATTGAAGAAAATGATGGTGATGATGATGATGACGATGATGAAACACGTGATGATGATGATGATGATGATGATGAGGACGACGGTGTTTTGATGATGGTGGATGTCTGTACTGACGGTGTTGTGATGATGGTGATGGGAAAAATGATATTATGACAAAGTATGCTGGCAGCAACATTTTGGGAAAACAAAAACCCTTCGCAGGCCCTTTCGGGAATTGGTTGTGTCTGTCCTGATGGTGTCAGTCCTGATGGTTGATGGTGTTTGTCCTCCTGCTGGTGTTTTGGTGGCATCTCAATTGTATTTCGGTGGTCGTTGGCATCTTGGTGGTACTTTGGTGGTGTGTCCATAAGTCTTGACGGTGTTCAGTGATGTTTTGAGTCTTGCTCATGTTTTCGTGGTGTTTCTGTGATGTTTTGGCGGTGTTCCGGTGGTGTTTTGGTGGTATTCTAGAAACGGTATTCACCCCGCTTCGCGTGGGGTGGCCGCCCACACCGCAGGTTTATTTCGGTCCGTGAGAGGGGCTAAGGGTGGTGTGGAATATGAGGAGCAGAGCAGCACAGGAGAATTGACATACATAACTGCTGGGTTCGTGAATTTTCACTTTTCCCCCGTGAAGCTTCCCAAGCTAAGAATTTTCACTTTCCCCCCCCGTGGGGGCTCCCCAAGCTAGGGAATTTTCACTTTTCCCCCCCGTAGGGGCTCCCCAAGCTAGGGAATTTTCACTTTTCCCCCCCGTGGGGGCTCCCCAAGCTAGGGAATTTTCACTTTTCCCCCCCGTGGGGGCTCCCCAAGCTAGGGAATTTTCACTTTCCCCCCCCGTGGGGGCTCCCCAAGCTAGGGAATTTTCACTTTTCCCCCCCGTGGGGGCTCCCCAAGCTAGGGAATTTTCACTTTTCCCCCCCGTGGGGGCTCCCCAAGCTAGGGAATTTTCACTTTTCCCCCCCGTGGGGGCTCCCCAAGCTAGGGAATTTTCACTTTTCCCCCCGTGGGGGCTCCCCAAGCTAGGGAATTTTCACTTTTCCCCCCGTGGGGGCTCCCCAAGCTAGGGAATTTTCACTTTTCCCACCCGTGGGGGCTCCCCAAGCTAGGGAATTTTCACTTTTCCCCGCCGTGACAGCTTCCCAAGCTATGGAATTTTCACTTTTCCCTCCCTTGGAGGCTCTCCAAGCTATGGAATTTTCACTTTTCCCTCCCTTGGAGGCTCTCCAAGCTGCGGAATTTCAAATAGCTAGACAACGACGCCTAGATAGTCCTCCAAATCCCGTGTTCTTTGAATGTGTTTCCATGTTTTTGCAATGGTTTCCTTCAAAGCACGGTACTTTACACTTTTGTCGCCATAAAACCGGTCGAAAACATCATGTTCGACAATGCTTCCAATTCCCTTATCTCCCCAACCGTTATCTCCCCAACCGTTGAAAATACCGCTATTTACAGTGTTTTCTTCAATTTTTCCATGTGCCAATGCCGGTAGCCAACTCCAACATATATATATATATAAGAAATCCTTCCAAAACATTGTTTTTGACAGTGTTTTTCCAATGTTTCCAGTCAAACAGACGGTAATTTACACGTTTTTTTGCCATAAAGGCAGTAAATCCTTCCAAAACATTGCTTTTGACAGTGTTTTTGTAATGTTTCCAGTCAAGCATACGGTAAATTTACACGTTTTTTGCTATAACGTCAGTCCAAAACACTTGTTTTTGCAGTGTTTTCAATGCTCTGGCATCCAAAAACCCTGCAAAATCTTGCTATGCACCATGTTTTTTTCATTTTTGGCCGTTTTTCCATTGCCGGAAAGCTACCAAAATGACCCAAAATTCCATTTCAATACCCTCTTGCGCTCAGACACCCTAAAATCCTCGAAAAAAGTCGAAAACACCACCGAATTCTGGTCTCGGTGCGAAACCGTTTTTGGCCCCCCCCCCCAGCTAAAGCTGATATAGCGACTGCTATATTAACAAATGTGATTGAGCATTTAGTGTAGCTGTTTTGCCCCCCAATAAGCACGCCTTCACCGCCAAAGCGGTGTGGGCGGATTTTCTTGGAGTAAAATGGTTCCCCGGCCAATAATTGGCGTCAACGGAGATGTGAAACTTTGCTATTGGGGTTGTATGCTGGATTAATTTCAACGGGGCAACTGTTCCACTCTTCCATTCAGCATGGTTATATAGACAAACGTGACAGGAACATGCCCCAGAAGAGGCGGGAAGGTTTAGACCGGCAAAAGTCAGTGAAACTGAAAGCTCAGAAAATTCGACTTGGTGCATTCAAGGCATTTCAAGGCTACAAGATGTGTTCTGGTTCGTTACTGGGACATGTGGCTTGGCCAGGATGAAGATTTCAATGATGAGGAGATGAGGGCAGCCTTTGCTGCCAAACTTCAGGACGTGTATGACATGGGTCGAACGGATGCCAGGCTATAGCTTGCTCAAATAATCTCAACTCCTATTCATGATTTTGGGATAGCTTGGGAAGATACCACCGTTGCAAAGAAGCAGCCTTCAAGAGCGGAAGGAATTCGGTTATCTCGCGATGTCGTTGCCTGCGCGTTGTTGAACCAAGCACATATAAGATAATATAAGCACATGGCCTCTTGTTCCCCCTGCAGAACAAACAATGGTGTTGCTAAAAGACTGCGAGTGTTCTGTTTTAAATGGCCGGTGTGGCTCCGGATGCTGAGGGGATTTCACCCCCAAATTGGCCTTGCTTTTGCACAACAAACCACGGGGTGAGTCTTTTGGCAAGAAGGTTTGCAACGGTTTGATTTGGCGTCCTCTACTTTTTACATACTGTAAACTGTCTTGTCACTCCCGATTTCATTGGTTTCACTTCTTCTGATCTGGTCATCAGTCCATGATTTGTCGGGACAATAGATTTGGTACAATTTGGTTGTTGTGTTGCATCTCAATGCGCGGTGACAAGCGGAGAAATCATGGCCTGTACCTTTAGCTGGGTTCAGGCCACCATTCTTGCAGCAACAGACTTCCTGAACCAAATGACGCCATCTACTGGAATCTTTGCACGTTGTCCTGCTGTATCATCTGTAATTATCTATCTCTCTCTCTCTCTCACCAAGCATTTTTGCTTATTTCTCTCTCTCTCTCTCTCCCCTCTCTCTCTCTCTCTCTCTGTCTAAGAGCTTTAAAAGTGCCCTGTGATACCACGAGTCATTTGTCCCGCTATCTTCTCCTGGATGCTATATACGTAATATACATGTATCACTGTATCACATTCAAAGTCAAAGCATTCCCAACAATGTTCTTCAAAACAAGGGCTTGACGCCAGTGACCAAACTCGGATGTGATACTGTATTACTTGTTCAGGTGAGAACACCTTATCAAAGCAGCCAGGGTCTCCACATGCATTGGACCAAAACCTGCATTTTGTCAGTCTATCCAGCTTAGATGGAGGGACATCAGGTACAACTTCTTGAGTAGCCTCAAGACCAAACACCTGGTGCCTCATTCAGTTGCGACACACACACACAAGCGATCAGACGTGTTTGAGATAAAGTACCTTCACCATGGGACCTGGTTCACTAAAACGTTTCGGAGACAGAAATGAATGAAATTATATATCAGGATTTTAAGACTGATTTTCGGGTGTTTGCCCAATGTAGCCGGTTTGCTGCGTTGAGCACTTCTTGAGCCACGTGAATTCCAAACTCACTCTCCTAGCCTAAACCTGGCTTAAACAGGAGCCTGGTCAAGAGGGAACTGGAGAAGGCAGACCCTCACGCCACATTCTTGCGGGCACAGACAGATAGGACGACAGAAATTGTTTTAGAAATTCCTCAGGAATGAAAAAGATCCAAACTTAATGAAACTTGACTTTGCGCTGGCGAGGTAGTGCGACGGAGCAGGCTTGGTACGCCAATATAGCGACAACTTCCTTGAACATTTCGCACCTGCTTTTTGATGTGACAAAACTTACGAACCTTATACTTAGTTTCCGAACATGTTTTGCAGGATGGGTGCCCAGCAAACATTGCAACGAGGGCTAAGGCATTCCTGTACTTATGGAGCTGTTTAGAATTGATGTTGTTTGTGCCGCGTGGGAGTTCACTTGCATTTCCACGATTGAGTATGTATATATTTACTTTGAACTCAAAGAAGATGAACATGACAGTTTCCTTAGGGGATGATGTGTTTCTGCCAGAGCAACTAGCATGCTGATCGTCATCCCAGTGAAGCACATGCGCGCACCATTCGTGAGGCTAAGCCCAAGCCAAAAGCTTGGGGAGCTCCACCACCCTTGTCAGGGAAGAAAAAAGATGTTCCTGGGAAGGAAAAAGCTTGATGAGAGTCTTCCTCTGTCTAAAATTCCACTCATTCCAGGCTCAGGACAGAGTGGTAATTTAGAATGCGCAGGCTAAATGGATCATTTGCATCACAACTTGCAATGCTTCGCGCGGAATGCCTAATTCGCCTTTGTGCATGGCTGTTTAAACGGAACACATGCAATTATAGAGCGCATGTCTCTCGTAAGGCTGATCGTGGTGCAGATGCAGAAATGGATGATTCTACAAAGCCCGAGGCTGCAGAACATGTCGATAAGAATAGACCATATACTCTTGCGATCTATGTGTGATATTGTGTGATATTGTGTGATATTGTGTGATAGGGTTTGATTTGTTTCTCAGCGCTGAAAACCAAAGAGGCAAGGGCATGTTGGGAATATCTGAAGTTTGTTGTTGCTTGTATCATCTTGTATCGCAAAAACAGTTTGTGATGGATGCGGTGGACAAGTGGACAAGTGGACAAGTGGCGAGTGACTTGTCTTTGCAGGAGATCCCAGAAAATGATCAGCCACCTCCTCCGTTCTTTGCAACATTGGCTTGCATTGGCTTAAATTGATTTAAATTGGCTTGCTGTTTCATTGCCTTGAATTTCACTTTGTTCTTATGCGCTTGAAAAAAGCGTTTGTCAACTTGTGCCAGGATCAATGGCTTGCGAGTCTGAAATTCATAGCTGGATGGAACGATCAAAAGAAATACGAAGCCGATCAGGCGCGCAGTCAACGTAAATGCTGCAGGCAAATGCAGAGTTGTCCAGATAGCAGCTGCACATTTGGCTTCTGAGAAGCGCGGATGTTAGAGAGTAAGTTCTGCACGTTTAATCCATTCTTGCTGCGAACCAAAAACCTTAGAAACAACATGAAACAACATCATGGCAATGGTCGAAGGAGCTCAACATCGAAGGGTTTTCCCTTGCCGGCATCGTGTGCCAGTAATCATGTCTCGCCGTATTTGCTCCGATCCCGTACCAAGTTCTTTTTTTCAATTTTTCTCGTCTCATTCCATCAGATCTCATGTTTGTTTCGCGGACATTCGAAACAATCGAGACATGAAAACTGTGAACAGGTGAAGGAAGCCTTCAGCCAATATCTTGCCGCCGAGGCCACGCGATTTGTTTTGCACGGTATGGAGGATTTCTACCCCAGCGCAAGAAATTGATGGCACTTGTCTTGGGTCAGCTCTGTTGGCCTCTGTGGTGACACTGGAAGGGTTCCGACAGGGTTTGGGAAGAATCTCAATGTTCATGTTTGCATCCAAACTTGAGGCCGCTCCAAAAACCACTGCAGTAATCTACAGTATGTGTTTGGTAGCTTGAGACTGTTTACAGCTGAAGTTCGGGAAGGTTTATGGAAAAGTCTGGGTTCAGGTGGGGTCCTGTATAGCTGTGATGTAGATTGCGGCAGTATGCCTGTAGCAGTTTGAAATGTCGCGAAGGTTCTGGAAGGTGCACTGTGCGGCTTTGGGAAGTGTTCCCCTTTCCCAAAATACGAAAGGAAAACTTGGTGCTCAGGTTCTGATCCCTGTGGCTAGGTTCTGGACAGGTTCCGAAAGGTCCCAGAGGAAATAATTCAGGAGGGAGGAGCAAATGGCGACTGCAAGGTTCGGAGCACTTGGAAGATTCCGAGAGCATTTATATAAAGGTTGCAAGTTGCACGTAAGTTTCAAGCTCTTAAAAAATCTGACTTGGTTTGCAATCCCCCTGCACAGTTAATTCATTCTTTGCCCTGCGGCTTTTGAGCTGCGAAGCTGCATTAATTTTCTTGTGGCGACATTCCACGTAGTCACTATGCACTCTGACACCTTTCCTGGAAGTGCAAGACAATTTGCAAGCAGTGTGACCTGAGTGATCTGAGAGGACATTGTCAGCAAAGACACGGTCGAGCAGCTTTGCAGAACCATTGTGTGGGACCAAGACTGTGGTGGCCACCAAAACTGTGGGATGAGGACGATGGATTGAATTTGTGACAGACCTGAGACAGATTGAACATTGCTGGAGGCAGAAATATGGAATATGTATAATATGCAGAACTGTCAACATGTCATACTCTTTCTATCAGCATTGCGGCAAATCAATCAATCAATCAATCAATCAACCAACTTATCTATCTATCTATCTGTCTGTCTGTCCGCCCGTCGGTCCGTCGGTCGGTCGGTCGGTCTGTCGGTCTGTCGGTCTGTCGGTCTGTCGGTCTGTCGGTCTGTCGGTCTGTCTCCCTGTGTGATTGTCTGTCCGCCTGTCTGCCTGTCCGCCTGTCTGCCTGTGTGCCTGCCTGTCTGCCTGTCTGCCTGTGTGCCTGTGTGCCTGTGTGCCCGTGTGTTTGTCTGCACTGTCTGCCTGTCTGCCTGTGTGCCTGCCTGCCTGCCTGCCTGGCTGGCTGGCTGTCTGTCTGTCTGTCAGTCTGTCAGTCTGTCAGTTTGTCACTCTCTCTGTCAGTCTGTCAGTCTGTCAGTCTGTCAGTCTGTCAGTCTGTCAGTCTGTCAGTCTGTCTGTCTGTCTGTCTGTATCTCTCTGTATCTATCTGTATCTATCTGTATCTATCTGTCTACTGGTATCTGTCCATCTACCTACCTACCTACCTACCTAGCTACCTATCTATCTACCTATCCTATCCATCCCATCCGGTCCTATAAATCAATAAATTTCTAATCTAATGTAATCCAATCTTGTCTTGTCTTATTTCATCTTCTCTTATCTTATAAATTTCTTATCTATGCTGTATGTGCCTGCACGGGTGGGGTGGGGTAGGGGGGGCAAGAACGTTCAACGCATAGTTAATGCTACATCACTTAGAACTGCTGAGGTTCCGTTGTTGCTTGACCTCGAAAGGGTGGATTCCATGGTGGTTGCGAATCTTCGGAAGGAGGCCTCTCAGGGCCTTTCAGACATTGCAAGCAAAACCATTGGGTTCCATGAATATTGATTTTCCTGTATGTCACAGCGCTCATCTCCTACTAGAGTACTTGTGGTTCTACTTTGCAACAGTCGGGACAAAACGCGCTAAGTGCTTTGAAAGGCAGGTTGCGAAAAGAGTTGGTTCTGCCACATTGTGTCAGTGTCCACCTCCCTGCTATGCCAGCAAAGACTAGTCTGCCCTTGCAGGTTCTAAGGACACTGAAGATTGTGCAGGTCGGGTCAGGCAGCAGAAAGCATATTCAACCAAACATCCGATCCGTTGCCTTTCAGGTCTGCATTTTGCGCATTGTCACCTTCGAGCTGCTGAGAGAGCATTCAGCCAAGGCAGCAACTCAAGGATATCCTGACACCTGTACGATTCTGTATATTAAATACAAGCAAATCATTTACAATCATTTGCAATCATTTGCATTCTAAATCCATCGACATAGACACTAACATAGATTGTATATGACTGTATGTGGTCTGGATGATCAAGGAAAGTATTGCGCATGTCAGGCTGCGAAGAAGGGCAGGGGCAAGAAGCAGGCCACGGCTTGCCAGGGTTGCAGACAATTTGCTGCTTTTGTGTCAATTTTAAAGTCTATTTGTGTGCCAATTTCAGTTTTGAGGCAGAAATTCCGCCAGAAGGAGCCACT